CACACACACACACACACACATGCAAATACACACATAGAGGAAATAATAATCAAAAATCCAAAAGGAAAGGGCAAGATAAAAAACATAAATAAATAAATAAATAAATATATTTGACAAATATCAATGAGAAAAAGCAACATAATATAAAAAAGCATTTTACCGGCTCCTCTGCGCTAAAACTGAGGCTTGACGTTGTCATGGGGACGTAGTTGTCATCAGTGTCATCAGAGTCAGAGGAGGGGGAGGAGCTTTGAGCAGAGATTGGTCTGACTGACCGACGACTGAAAGGACTGAAACAATTACAGTATTACAAAATTTTAACTTTACTTTTAGAGATAAAAGTTTATTTTTTGATGCATTTTATTGCCCTGATCAGAAAAAATTCAGTCAAAGATGAATTTATTCAGACCCTGATTTGTTTGTTTGGGGTTTCCCTCTTTATGCAGGTTATTTTGTAGATTTTTGATGCAACTCTTACTTTAAAAATGTAAACTTCACATTTTCTGACTCTGCTTCAGTCTCCATCACTTCCACTACAAATACATTATTGTTCTCTCATCATATAATACCACATTATGACCAGGAGGTGGCAGCAGAAAGCAACACATCTGAAGCTGCCTCTCTGAGTGTTGAATTATTACTTTAAATCATTGTTTTTCCTTTGTTTTGACACCGCAGCTTAGCTTTGACCCTCTCACATCAAACTCACCCTCGAGTGAAAGTGCGTGTGACAGGTGAGCGCACAGGGGGCGGGACTTCCTGCCAGTCCTGAGGAACCAGAGTGATGTCCAGAGGAGCTGGTTTCACTGGAAAAATGAAAGACAGATGACTTTAACGTTCTAAAATTTAAACAAAGACACTAAAATAAATCCGTAGTCATTTATCTGATGGGAAACTGTTTAGAGTTGAATAAGTTACTAAAATGAGGTGATTTCTTTCATTCTTGCCCCTCGTAAATGTGTCAGTACTTTATTTATTTGTGTAAATCAGCTATTTCCAAAGTAGTTTTATAAATTCACACAACGCTCTTCAGTTATTCTTCAATTTAAAACAAGCTCTAGAAAAACATATTATTGAAATATAGTTTTTGATGCTTTTTGCACCAATAAAAATAAAGAGTGGTATTGGAGTGTTGAGTGAAACTGTGAACATGCGTTAATGTTTAATATAACAGTTGTTTTAAGTTGCTGCTACGTATTTTCTGCTAAGTGTTGGAACGCGTGCGGCTGTCAGGACCTTCTGCTGACGTCTCGTAGCGTAAAGTGGGAGACGGTAAATAATTCAAACAATTCAAATTAAAAGTGGCCTAAAGGTAAAGAGAAGCTCATGAAACGGCCGAGACGGGAAGGAGAAGCGATGAACTGATTCAGGAACAGAAACAAACCCACTTCAGACGTGAAGCGGTTAGAAAAATGCTGACTGGAGAGGTGGGTTACAATTTATTTATTAAGAAACGGATAAAACGCTCTGCAGAAACTCAAGAACAAAGAAAAAGATGATCAGGAATCATTGTGAAAGAAGTCTGTATCTACAGTTTATTGTAGGAAAACTGATCATTTATCTGTGGTATTTTTAGTTTATGATATATTTGATCACAGCTGAATAAGTTGCTTTTTGACCAGTTTTCAAACACAAATATAACCTAAAGGTTTATTCAGAATCTATAAACCAGTTTTATTCATTTGTTTGTACTGCAGCTGTTTTGTAGTTTCATCAATTAGGAAACTAATGTTGACCATCACAACCAGAAGTCACTCTGTAACAGATGAGACCATTGTTGGCTGTTTGTACCTTTTGTTTTTTGTCTTGGCTCTCCAGCAGTCTGCCTGTCACTTCTTTCTACAGACTGATTGGTGCAAACTCCTGAAAAGACAAAAAAATAAATAAATAAATAAACAAAAGAAATAAAACGCACAAGAACATCCGATTTAATGAACACTTAAAAATAAAAACACTTGTCAGGGGTGATGATGTAAGGCTAGATATTCGTTGATTTGGTTTTTATTACAAGGAAATCAAGACGTGTTCAAAATGTTAAAAAAACAATCCTCATTTTATGTTATAGTTTCAACAACGATATGGAATATCTGTTAAATGTTTACCAAAAAATCATTTTTAATGAAAAATATGTTTTTAACCAAGTTTGAGGACTGAAATCACAGATCATAAGTTGTAAATATATTCTGTAAGCGTTCTGTGTTCAGAACTTAAACTAAAAGTTCATTCTTAAAGGTTTTCAGTGTTGAGATTTAAAAAAAAACAGTCACATTTACAAACACAAAAATACCTCTCCGCTGTGGTTTCAGGTTGCGGTGGATCGGAGGGGGGGCCACGTCGGCTTCACCTCCACTGACGCTCGCAGCATTCCTTTGGAGGGGCGGGGTGGAGGGAATGATTGGAGTCTTTGTGGAGTTACGGAAACCCATATGGGCCGGTGGAGGCACCTGCCTCCCCAGAAATACCAGGTCACCTGTGGCAGGACTGGGGTGGGCGGGGAGGGAGGAAGTCAGCGGGGTCATGGGGATGTAGTTGTCCTGATGCTGGTCTGAGGGGTCTGAATGAGCACCAGGATGGACCCTGGAATAACAAACAAATAATTAAGATATAGAAATATTAGCGGCTTTCTGCAAGGTTGTTGATGAAGAATAAAATCTATCAAACACAAACAGCTGGGATCTATTTTCCAGAGAGGCCTTATATTTTACCCCAGAATACAAGTGTTCCATTCAGTCATACAAAGTCATTACTAAAGGGGACCTATTATGCAACATTTACTTTTTAAAGGTTTTTAAACTCAACTTTGGGTATGTACTTCTTAAAAAAAACAGTCCTAGGACCTAAAAAAATGCGCCCAGGGGCATATTTACTGTAAGTAAATGTATTTTTAATGTATATTAACGACAAGTTTTATACTTCCTACATTTTGTGATGTCACAAGCCGTATGACAACCCACCGGAACCTGTGTTCAGCCCCTTACCTAGCAACCCCCGGGTGAGGCTCCACCTCCTCAATATAAAAAGCCGTCATGGTGTTGTTGTGCAATGTGTAGCTCATTTCACAACAAGTGTCCAATAGGGCAATGGGTAGAGTGTTGGACCAGAGAGTGGGAGACCATTGTTTGAGACCTGCACGAACACTATTTAATTATTTATTAATTTTCGTTCATTATGAACACGTTTTCTCATGTACCTCTATTGTTTAGCTTATGAAAGCCTTGTTAAAGCCTATTTGTTCGAGTTTCTGAGGTATTTTGACCGCTGCTGCTCCCTGCTCTGGTAACAGCATGCAGAGTGAGTGCAGAGCAGAGGAGGGAGAAAAAAAGAAGCTGGGACCACGACTCTGCCTCTGGGTCTCATATGGTTGTACAACAGAGCTTCTGCTATTATTAGCCATGCTAACGTAAACGCTGGCTTTGGAGGGCGGAGTTAATGTCAACAGATTTTTGGAGGGCGTTACCAACAGAGCTCATTAACATAAACATCTCTTCTGAACGGAAGTCAGAGCAGGCAGAACTAGGAAATGGGAAATTTTATTATCTTTTATTATCTGAGAATTATTTTGTGCATTAAATTGAATGAACATGGTCTGGTTAGCCTACAGACATACCATAAAAAATTCTAGGAAATTCTAGGACCCATAATTGGTCTCCTTTAAAATTATTAATTATTATTAATTATTATTACCTCCTCATGAAACCCAAATACTTTCAGGTGTTGCTGATTCACAGATGTGAACAGGTGTTACAGAATGTTACTGACTTTTAAATGAAACTATCTTGTCAGAGAAATTAAACATACAACCTGTTTTTTTAAAAGGATCAAAATAAAAACAAACCATAAAACAACGTTTGATGCAACTATGAAAGTTTTAAGAGTATTTAGTTTCTTCTCCATACTCTTACAGCTTTAAACCATTTTAAATATCCTGCAACCTGAATTTAAAAGCTTCAACTTTGATATAAGATGGTGCAATTATTGTTAAAAATTAATATTTCTAATAAGCTTTTTTCTATAAAGTTTGTTTTAAATGTGTGCTCTAACTCAGACTCACCGCGGTGCAACCGGGGGCTCAGTAGCAGCAGCGCTCATCGGAACATAGTTTTCATCCACGTCATCTTCAGAATAAACACTGCCCAGAGGCACCATGCCTTTATTAAGCTGAGAGACAAAACAAAAGATTGAGTCATATAAAGGGTAACAAATAAGTGTTTTATTGAACATATGAAGGTTTAAACTGACAAAGTAACTGTTGAAACTCTCGCTGAACTCGAACATGTTGGCTCTGTCAGACCAACATCGAGGGATGGGGAAAGCCTCCCAGCCTGAAACACACAAACCACAAAGAAAATCACAGCTTAAATATAAAACAACCTTTTAGACTTTTTATTTAATTTGAACAAAGTTGTTAGAATGAGACACAAATCAGGAAAAATAAAAATGTTTCTACATGTTTGTTAAGGTTTTGAACAAAATAAATAAATGAAACCAGTTTTTTAGACAGGAAACAGTTTGATCTGAGTGTAGATAAGACAAACGCACTTGGCACAAGACAAATGTTTGTGTATTAAATCATGTCCGTGCCTGTCTGGATAAAGAGATTCAAATGGAAAACATCCTCTTAATCTTTTTAAAAGTGCTTTTTTGTCCACCAGGAAACAAAGACTAAACAGTACATTATAATAAAACTGTTAAAAAAAGAAAAACATTCCTGTTGGAAAATGTTGTTATACAACTGAAGGCGAAGTTCTCATTATATAAAGAAGTTTAATGCTAATTAAATGACAAAGAAAACAAGTGCAAGTTGTTTCAGATGGTAGAATTTAATCCATCTAAAGCAGAATAAAGCCTCTGAACAGCAGGTTCTGATTTCCAGTTGAGATTAAACCTTTTTGTAAAAATAAAAGTATGTCTATGATTTCTTTTGTTTTTTATTGATTTAGGCACAATAATACACGTGCTGTATGTACCTTATACAATAAAATAAAACTGTTAGTGTTCTATGTTATAATCCAAGCAAAGAGAAAGACGTTTAAAGAATATTTGCAGGTGTGATTTACGTAACTTTCCTGTTTTCGTTGTTTTCACTCTGCACCTTTTTTGTTTTACATCACTTCAACAATTAGGAAAAGTCTTACTCCCACCCCCCATTTTCCCCCAAAAGTAACGAATATTTTACATTTTTAGGATTTATTTTATGACATACCTAAATTTCTAATTTTACCAAGAGTATGTATTTATCTGGTGCACTATAATTTGGACAGGAAACACTACAAACAGCCATATTGTGACAAGACTAAAACCATGTATGTCATTTTCAGCAGTTCTGAACAAATATGACATCATACAGTTTTAAATCAGGTCAAAGTTACTTAACGACAACAAGAGAGCTGCAGCTGGGCAACAAGTTCATTTCTATTGTGTTAGAGCAAATGAGGTCATTTTATTGGGGTGGTTATATTGAATGGATCAAATTACTGTGGGGGTCATAACCCCTTTAATCCCCCCGCAAATTACACCAATGGACTGATTAACTGAGTTTTAGATATGTTCTTATATAACTGTGATTAGTTGTGATCGTTTACTTTAAACAAAGGCTCTCTATCTTGAGATTTGCTCCAACATCCCATAAACACATCATATTCTACATTTTAACAAGTGTTTACTTTATTTATCCAGACATCATATCTGAGGCGGGACTCGGCTCTGTGGTTACGTGTCGCTCCGGCCCAGATCTGAGTTATGTGTGATGAACTCTAAGATTAAATATTCAAGTCTAAATCTGAATACACCTCCTGTGCAGCTGCAGCTGCAAGTAATGGAACATTTTCCAGCTCCACTTTTAGCCTTTTTCTGATGTGTGTCTCTGGTTTTGTTACTGTTCCTTTAAGACGCTTCAAGCCCCGCCCCACTCCGGCTTCCAGGTCGGTCCACTCCGGTTTGAGACGGGAAGTGGGGGGAGGGGTGTTACATTTTCTAGCAGTGCAGAGATGGGTTTTTTTTTTTACAATTAAATTGAAAGATGTCAACAACCGAAGACTTGTTCATCCAGCCTTACATGTTGGAGCCAGAGACTGACCCAGAACCAGAGTCTGACCCAGAACCAGAGTCTGACCCAGAACCAGAGTCTGACTAGAACCAGAGTCTGACCAGGACCAGAGTCTGACCCAGAACCAGAGTCTGACCCAGAACCAGAGTCTGACCCAGAACCAGAGTATAATTAAAATGAAAAAAAAATGTATTTGGTAAGTCGAGACCTTATTTGTCAATTTTGTTGCAGATAATTAGACATTTTAGTTCAGAAAATGTTATGAAAAACAAAGAAAAATTCTTTGCAAAAAAATCCTTGCAGCAGCAGAGAGATTAAATTCAAATTTTCTGCCTACTAGAGCATCAAGTTCACTACAAAATGTTTTTAACAACTTAAAAAGTGAATTTTGCATGATACGTCCCCTTAAAAGACCAAATGAATAAAGCGCTACATGACTTTAGAGAAGAAATGACTCAAAAATAGATAAATGAGTCCAAGTCCACCAGTTTCAGATGAGCCTTTCTAACAAAGTCAGGATACACTGTAGGTACTTCAGTATATGTGTTACCTTTCATCAGGTGTCCTCCTCTCATTTCATCCCTCCTCTCTGACTCTGAGCTGGTTCTGGGCAGAGTAGCAGGCCCCAGGCCAACAGTGAAGCTCCCTCCTAGTGGGGTGGCAGTTGGGGGCTTGGGTGGCCGAGGAGGAGGGGGGAGTGTCGGGATGGAGGTGTGGAGCTCTGCCTGGCTCAGGGAGTCCACGCTGGGGGTAGATGACGGCCGGCGGGGCAGAGGCGGCTGTGGGGTGGATGCTGGACGGGGGACTTGGTAACCACTTGGGGCGGAGGACTGGTGCAGGTCAGGGTGCACGTCAGAGTGCACGTCAGAGTGCACGTCAGAGTGCACGTCAGAGTGCACGTCAGAGTGCACGTCAGCCCCGAGCCGTACGGCCAGAGGATGCAGGTAGAAATCCAGAGAGTGCTTTCTGGGATGAGCAGAAGGCTGGCAGTGAGGCCTGGCTCGTTTCAGGAAGTCAGAGGTCATGGTGGCGTCCAATGATTGGCTGAGAGGGCTGGTCATGGCAGCGACTGTCCAAGGGGCGGTCCTAAAGCTGGACGAGGCCGCGGGTGGGAGGCTGTTAGGAGGGAGGGAAGGAGAGGAAGAGGAGGACGAGGAACATGAGGTGGCTGAGGGAGGAGGGTAGAGGTTGTCGTTGCAGTCGGTTTCCAGAGAAGTTGATGAACCTAAAGGAGGGCTGAAAACCAAAAACAAATAAAGAATTATTTAACTTTGTACATATTTTATCCAAATTTCTTCTGAAAAAAAAATCTAAACCCTTTCTACTGAGAGGAGAGATGATCTTTTTAATCTTTATCTGATTAAGTGTCTTTGTTAAAAACCTGTAGGTGTGTCCTGAGATGAAACTTTAATCCTGCTTCTGAGAACCAACATGTCAAAACTCTGCAGATGGTTTTCATCCAGATTAATAATCCTTATAATAATCCTTTACTACTCATGTTTCTTTATCAAAACTCTATTTGGTATTGGTGTGATCTTATAGTTTTTAGAGTGTAGAAGTTTGGAATTACATTAGATTGAGGCAAGTTTCATTTTATTAAACAGACATATTTACATAAATAAAACTTTTTTTAATTAGTGCTTTGTGATCCAGATAAACTAGTTAGAATGTTTCAAGTTACAGAGGTTCGGTGTAAAAAGCTCAAATGTTTCATATATATATATATATATATATAT